CAGATCTGACTTTTTCATTACCCTAGTCAAAAATCTTTAAGTGCTTGCTAATGCCTTTAGGATACAATGCAAACTCCTCAGCCAGGCATTTAAAGCTTTGCACAATGTGCCTCACACCTATCTTTGCAGTCTGATTTTCTATTACTCCCTTTCATGTACTGTCTATTCCAAATGGGCTTTCTGGGTGTTCTTCCTATTTGACAATTCAGCTCCTGCTGTCTCTGTTGTGCCTTGAAACACTGCAGAACATGTGCCAATGCCTGGAATATCCCTTTGTGTCTTGGAATCACTTGGTTTCTTCTAGACCTAGCTGTAGAGCCACCTCCTCTAGGAAGCCTCCCCCCTTCCCAGCTAATAATACTCTCCCTTATTTCAATTACTTTGCATTATACCTTGTATTTACTGTGTTTTGTGAAGAATGAAAGTTCCTTGAAGTCAGGGACTGTCCTCCTCGGCTTTTGTTTTTTTATCCCCAGTGCCCTGGGGGCCTAAGAAATTTCTGTTGTTGGATAATTGTAATATCTTTAAAAAGTCAACTTCACAAAGAGATTCTGTTGAATAGTATCTGAAAAGGATCTAGGGCTTTTAGTAGAATATGCACTCAATATAAATCAACAGTGTGATACAGCAACCAAAAAAGCTAATGCAATCTCAGGATGCATTAAGAGAAGTATATTATCCAATTCTAGAGAGGTGATGGACAACTAGGTGGCACAATGGATAGAGTACTGGGCCTGGAGTCAGGAAGACTCATCTTCCTGAGTTCAAATCTGGCCTCAGGCACTTACTAGCTGTGTGATCCCAGAGCAAGTCACTTAATCCTGTTTGCCTCAGTTTCCTCATCTGTAAAATAAGCTGGAGAAGGAAATGGCAAACCACATCAGTATCTCTGCCAAGAAAACCCCAAATGGGATCACAAAGAGTCAGACATAACGGAAACAACAACAACAACAACAACAGAGAGGTGACAGTTTAATTGCATTCTCTTCTTATCAGCCTACATGTGGAATATTGTGTTTCACTCAGGCAAGAAGGATATCGATAAACTGGAAAGGGCTTAGAGCACATCAGCTAAGATGCTGCAGAGCCCTAAATTCATGTGAAATGAAGAGAGAAAGAAAGTGGAAAGAAAGAACTAGAGATACTTAGAGATTTAGGGAAGATATAGGTAACTTTCATCAGGTATTTAAAAGGCTATCTTTTTAAATGGAAGACAAATGATCAACCTTATTCTAGTTGGCCCCAAAAGGCAAACACGCAAATTTGGGCTTGAGTTGAGAAGAGCCCTCTTAACCACTGCAACCTTCCCGAAGTGAGATGGCCTGCCTTGGGAGGTGGCGAGTGTCCCCTCCACCAGGTCCTGAAGTGGAGGCTGGGAGACAATTTATTGGATATGATGTGAAGGGGATTCTATCTCAGGTATGAGTTGGACTAGAGGGCTGCTAAGGTCCTTTCCAACTTTAAAATTATATGACTTTGGGGAACGGGCAATTGGATTTTCTAACAATAAAAACATGCATTTATAAAAACCCATATTAAAAAGTTGTTTTCATTTATGCCACACTATGTGCTGCATCCCTTCCAAGTATAAAACTTTTGGTTCTGTGAGTAAAAGTCAGAAGTGTGCATTGTGTGGGAAGCCCTGTGGTTGGTATAGGGGCTAGAAAGACAGTTATGAAACAGACTTTGCTCTCAAAGATGTAAAATATAATGGGAAAAAGTACAAACACACCAATACCTATAATATGGGTGAGATGAATCTTGGTAGGTTTAACCAAAGGGATACAAGAAATCTGAGGAGGGAGAGATTACTTTCAAGGAATGGTTAGGGAAGGCTTCATGGAGGCACATTCTTGAAGGAAGGGAAGGTTTTCAAAAGATGGATAAAAAGTCTGCCGGGGGAGGAAGAGCCCATTCCAAGGAATAATGGATAGCACTGAGTAAAGGAATATAAAAAGAAAGCTGGATGAGAACAGGGGAAAGAGAGGTATGGGAAAACAGTATGAGATAAGTTAACCTTCATCTTCCACACAGGACTCAGCATCAGGGCCTCATAAATATCAGGCACTCAATACTTGTTGAATGAATATGTGTCTATGTATAAATCCTCAGATTTCAGAAAGTAAAGCTTTATTTCAAGATCAAAGTACAAATTGGAAATTTGTATAAAATACTGCCTAAATATTTGATGGTATGATAGGAAATGTGATGGAAATAAGGAAGTCATTCTAATTCAGGAGTGGGGATCCTGTGGCCTTGAGGCCATGTGTGGCTCTCTAGGTCTTCAAGTACTGCCCTCTGACTGAATATTTGTTCTGTGAAGTTTGGATTCAGTTAAAGGGCCGCACTTGAGGCCCTAGAGGGCCACACGTGGCCTTGAGGCTGCAGCTTCCCCACCCCTGTATTATATTTCTCTGACAGCTCAGAGTTTGTAGAGCCTCATGAAGGGCAACGTTCGGTGTCAAATCCTTATCACTTCTAGTCAATGTCCTGATCTCTGTACGCCAGGGTTCTCAAAGATGTGTAAAGTGACTCCCAAGGTTTGGGACTCTGAATATCTTTTCCTCAGTGCTGTAGGTCTGGGGTGGGGAAGAATAGGTTTCCTATTTTTTCCCAAGTTGTTCCAACCATATTTTTAGAATGAAAAATAAAAAGAGAAACATTGTCTAAGACATAGACAAACTTAGACATAAGCAGAGTAATGGGATTACTGGATAAAGATCATAATGCAAGTCCTTGCGAGATGACAGGGTAGAACAGACAGACAAATGATTGCAAATCAGATGATCTAAGCTTGTGTTCCAACTCTATCACTATTTAGACATGATCTTGGGCAGGTCACTTCAGTTTTTTCAACTGTAAAATGGGGAGAGAAATTCTTTTAATCCCTACCTTCCCTGGTGGTTGTTATTGCAAACCATTGTTATTATTCAATAGGGGAGAAAACTAAGACAAGCCCAGGAGAAGAGAAGAGATTTGCTCAACATCATGCTGAGAAAGGAGCAGAATTAGAACGAGAAGCTCTATCTTCTCCTTAGTTACTGCTTTCTTTGAAAAAAATTATTGATATATTTACATAATATATAAAAAGCAGGAAAAAATCTACAAATCTAATCAATACATGGAAAAGGTATAAAAATATTAGCTATTATCATGAAGAAAGCAGCATTTATTAAGCATTTACTATGTGCCACATACTGTGCTAAGCACTTTACAAATATTATCTCATTTGATTCTCACAACAACCACAGGAGGGAAATACTATTATTATCCCCATTTTACAGTTGAGGAAACTGAGGCAGATAGCAGTTGAGTGCCCACGCTCACACAACTAGTAAGTTATGAGGCTGGATTTGAACTTAGGCCTTCCTGACTCTAGGTGAGGTGCTCTATTCACTGAACCACCTACAGTCTTGTTACGTCAGAAGATAGAGTGCAGAAAGTTAAGAACAGTGAAAGGAAAGAAGTGGAAACACCAACTACAGATGATCTCTCAAGGAGTTTAGCCACAAAAACTAGGAGAGATATAGGATGGCAGCTATTGGAATGGAGGGGTCATTTGAAGGGTTTTTGTGCATGGAGGAGACATGGTCATGTTTGTAGGCACTAGGGAAGCAGCCATAGACAGGGAGAGATTGAAGATAAGTGGGAGTAGAGGGGGGTAGAGGGGATAATCCGCTGGAGAAGATGAGATGGAATGGGATCCCTCTGCAGGTAGAGGGATTTGCCTTGGTGAGAAGGGCCAGCTCTTCATGTGAGACAGGGGTGAAGGAGGGGATGGAGGGGGAAGTCGTTTGTACAATGTGAGATGAAGACAAGCCCTCAGTTCTTACAATTTGTCAAGATCCCCTTTCAATTGTTTGTCGGTTATCATTTCCAACCTCTTTGTATTATACCAAGCTGAAAATCCATAGCAGGTTTACACGATTACTATGTTAAAATTCGCTAGTTTTCCTAGGATTTTAAAAATTTGGAAAAATACAGAAAAAGTCATTGGCTCCTTAAAAATTCCCTCCCTTCTCTCTTCAAAGCCTTTAGAATTCCAAGCTTTGGCAGTCAACCTACTGAACATCACTGGGAGCTGAGTCCTCAAGGAAGCCAAGAGGCAAAGACAAGAAGGAGAGCACTGTGGGCATGGAAGAGAAAAGGTAAATGTTGGTGCCTTCCCTCTGAGACAACCTCAGTGTATACCTTCACATACACTTTGTGTATATTTTGCATGGATGGAGTTGTTTGCTTGGTGTCTTTCCCATTAGAACATGAGCTCCCTGAAGGCAAAACTGTTTTTATCTTTCTCTGCATCCCCACCACTTAGCCCAGTGCCTCACACATATTTAATAAATGCTTATTGACTTGAGATGGAGTGTTGTGTGTGAAGAACAAGAAGTAAGCCAGTGTTACTGGGTCATCAAGTATAGGAAAGTGTAAGAAGACTACAGAAGGAAGAAGAGGCCAGGTTGTAAAGGGCCAAACAAAGGATTTTACATCAGATCTTCGAGGTGACTGGAAGCTGCTGGAGTTTACTGAATGGTGGAGTATCATGGTCAGACTGGCACTCTAGGGATCTTACTTTGGCAGCCAAGTGAGGATGCCAGAAAATTCTGAAAGGTTACTAGAGGTGTATTTGGTGAGAGCTAGGTTCAAGCCAGCTCTGCCTCTCATTAGCTGTGGGCTTATGGGCAAGTCACTATCCTCTCTGAGACTTAGTTCCCCCATCCATAAAAAGAAAGGTCCTTTTCTAGCTATAGCACTCTATATGCCAAACCCCTCGAACTATCCTGTGTTCTAAGGTTGCTGGTAGGCAGATACACATAGCAGGTACATTTGTTAAACAAATGCCCCTCCCCTTTTTAGCATTGCTGTAGTCCTCAAGAACAATTCATGACGTTCACTGTTGAATTAAAAAAGAAAAATTGTTAAAGAGCAGTCTCATATACAAGATCATACACAACTGTCACACTTCAGTCTGCCTAGCAATGTAGTGCTGATGTAAGACTCACCATGTAACAATATAAATAGACCGCAGTACTAGAGTAAAAACCAACAGTCCATACATGACCTGGAAGAGAAAGAAAATGCAATGTTAGTATAGCCTTTAACAGATTTTTTAAAAAAGGAACTTTTTTCACCTACTAAGAAAAAATTCACACTGGATTTGAACTTGTTTTACCTCCTCTACCACTAAAACCAAAAAAATGAAATAGTTTTTCCTTCCCCAGAAACCTAAAAACCAGACGTTTGCTCCCCCACTGATCTATTAGTCAGTCAATAAATATTTATAAGAGCCAGACACCGTGCTTAAGCACTGGAGATTGTATTAGGGGACTGATAGGAAGAATTAATATGAGAAATCATATGTCAGTTTGATGACATTCACCTGTAATTTAAAGCACTTGGACTTCATTCAATATTTGCTTAAATGTGAAAAGGCTAGAAGTCTGGTGTACTACAATGAAACCTAGACTGGGAATCAGGAGTCCTGGGCTCTAGTTTGGCCCTGCCACTCACTCTCTGTGACCTTGTCTGTAAAGTGTGGTTGCTGGGCCATATTCTCTCCCATCAGGGTCCATTTTAGCTCTAAGATTCTGTGATTAAGAGTTCATCATAATCCTTACTCCATCTTAGGAACCTGATGCTGGGAAGCAGGCACTGGGAAGTGAATGAGTCTGATTCAATTCTACACTTCCAAGAGTACCTCCTGGGGTATGAGGTGCAGAATAAAGGGAGTTGCTGATGCAGAAAATTGCAGAAATCTGGAGCTGGAAGGGACTTAAAGTGCCTCTAGCCCAACCTCTTCATTCTATAAAAAGTAAGAAACCTGACCAGGGAGGAAAAGTGATTATGCAGGGTCACACAGCAATTCACTGGTGCCTCCTGGACCAGGACCTAGGGCTCCTGGGGTCATTCTAGGACTCCTCCCATGATGCCATCCCACCTTCTATAGAGATCATGAACAGGCCAGTCTGCTAGGGTATGGTTAAGAGTTGAACCCTGTGCCATTTTCTCTGACCTCCCACGGTCACATCCCTCTCAAGCTTCCTTGTCTGTGCATAGCATTCTATTCCTTATGGTCCATACAGTTTACTATCTACATTATCTCATTTGATCCTCTTGTGAGGCAAGCACTCTTTCTGTGGCCTGGATCTGATGTCATCTGGTGCAAGGAGCTCCCAGCAAGGAATTTTCCCTACCAATGTAGGTCAGCACTTTCTTGGCAAATTAACATCTTAGAGAATTGTCTAGTAGAGAGCAAGGCAGGCACTATAAGGCATTATTATCCCCATTTTACACAGATGAGGAAACTGGCTGAGATGTGAATTAACTCCCCCAATCACACAGTTTTCTGCATTGGAGAGCTGAGTTGAATGCATGGCTCTTCCCATGCCAAGTCAAGTGCTCTTTTACTATGTAGCACTGCCTCCCACAGAACAAAAAGGTCCATGTCCTTCCCACTTTCATAGTATGACAGCATCAAAGAACCAGAGTTGGAATGAGGCTCAGATGACACCTGGTCAAAACCTCTTGTTATACAAAGGAGTAAACTGAGGCCCAGAGAGTTATTTGCTCAAGATGACCCAGGTGATAAGTGTAAACCCCCTCTCCTCTGACTCCAGAACCTGTGTACTTTGAAAAGCTCTGAGCCAATGCATTTGTTTCCTCTTTGCTTATCAATAAAAATACAAGAGGTCAGTCTGGAATAGACCTTAGAAGGGACCAAGAGCATGGTCAAAAGGAGACTTAGAGTTCATCCAGTCCAGCTTCTTCATTTTACAGAGGAAAATGAGACCCAGAGAGAAGTAACCTTCTCAAGGAATTATAGCAAATCAGTGGGTTCCTCATCTTTCACTCTTTCTACACTCTCTTCTAAGATTACTAAACTCCTTGTTTGTGTGCTGGCATACCATGAGTACAGTTCAAAAACTACACATTTTTACAGTGGTTGGAGCTTAAGAACAAGGGAAAACATTTGAAAATAAAAATATGTCAAAATCTAGTTTTCTAATCAGATTTCATTTCTATTTGCTACCCCTTCCAAATTTCCAACTAAAAAGCCAAGAAATCAGATGAAAAAATTATAATTTATTCTTAATGCTAGCACTAATAGTAGCTCACTCACTTGTATTTCTATGGCACTCTTGGGCTTACAAAGTACTTTCCTTACAAGACTCCTGAAGAAACTGAAAGCCTTATTATCCCCATTTTACAGATGAGGGAACTGAAGTGGTTTATACACATTCATGGAGCTAGTAAGTAGGAGAGATGGAACTCAGCCCCAGGTTCTGTGATTCAGATACAGTGCTCTTTCTACTACATTAGTTGCCTTCCTCTGTTCAAAACATTTCATTCCATCTGTTGATTCATGCTGCTTATTGGTTATGTTTAATCTTTAGTCCTAATATATTGCAAATGTGTCTTCTGGCAAACTCTCATCATAAACAAATTTCACCACCATAAAATCATTTGCAGTCCCAGGGTCAAGGAAAGAGTACACAAAAGAGCAGGGGTCTGTTCCTGGCTCTGTTCCTTACTATTCAGATGACCTTGGGCAAGTCTTTATTAGACTAAACTATGTCTAAGATCCCTTCCAGCTCTAAATCTATGGTCCTTGCCCTGCTGACTTCACTGGTACACTATGAGAGGATTCTGTGAGTTGATGGCTATTAAAGTGCTCTGAAATGTACAAAAAGCAATTGTTATCACTGTGGAATTTCACCTATGTCTAAAGGAACACAATGGAATACTGGGTTCATATTTCAATATGACCTTAAGCTTTACAAAGCACTTTCCATACAACAATCTATTGGTACCATACATAATCATCCCTTAGTGTCTGTTTTTTTAAGTAGATTTTTATATACTACCTTTTCTTAAATGGCTATCTATTGGTTATCTCTCATTTTTCACCCTTGGCTAGCCTATCTTTTTCACTCATATATTTCTTTCTTTGACAGAGATACAGTTCTTAAAAAGTTTACAACCTAATGGGGTAAAGGGTAAGGATAAATATATAACTACAATACAAAAGCAAGTGTGGTAAGCATAGAGGAGAGGGTTCTAAGTTCTATGAATCAGAGGACAGAGAGATCAGTTTCAGTTTTGGGGGGAAGGGGTCAGGGACATTTTCACAGAAAAGTTGGTATCTGAGTTGGGTCTTGAAGGAAGGAATGCTCAGAAAGAGAAGAAGAAAGAGAATGCCCAGAAGAGATAGGAGGCATTTATTCCAGGCACTGGGAATGCTGTAAGCAAAGGTCAGAAAGAGCAGGACAAGAATAGGGGGTGGAGTGGAGTAGAAATAGTCCAGTTGGGTAGGACTTAAGAACATATGAAGGGGAATAGAATGAAATAAGGCTAGTCAGAAAGACTGGAGACAGACTGTGGAAGGCCAGAGTCAGCTGTTTGGTTATACTGATTTAGGAGACAATGAGGAATCATGAAAGCATTTAATAGAAGAGTAACATTATTACAGGGGTGAACATTATAAAGATTACAGAATAAAAGATTCTCAGAATTGGGAGGGGTCTCTGAGATGATCTAATTAAATCAGCAGTCTAATTTCAAATTACTTGAACAATTGATGTGAAGAGTGAATTACAGGAAAGATAAACTAGAAGCAAGGTTACTAGCCAGGAGGCCATAATTAAAAATAGGCTAGAAGCAAAAAGATTAATTAGGATCTAAATATGCATGGTCGTAACTGGAACTGGAGAGGTAGGGCATGATAGAGAAATGTTGCAGAATGAAAATGACAAGATTAGCAGCTGAATGACTGTATGGTGTATGCAGTCAAACAGGACGTTAGGCAAGACTCTTCACCTTGCTGAGCCTTAGTTCCCTCATCTGTTAAAATGGGCATCATATCTGAATGATCTGCTTTACAGGATTATTGAGGGAAAGGTTTTGTAAATATTATAATGGTATAAAAATGTATGTTGTGATAAAGCAGCAGTAAACAGTGCCCTGGAGCTTGGATCCAGGTCTTTTAACTCCAAGTGATATTTCTTTCTTTCGTCCTCCTCAAATCACATCATACATTTATTTTATCTCCAGTTACAAAAATGACTCTTTTCATGAAGAAACATTTGAGAGTGAGAAGCCTGAAATATACCTTTGTATTCCAAGATCCCTCCAAAAAATCAGTGTGAGGAAAAAGGGGTCAGAGGACACATTTACATATACACATATACAGGAGGGGCGCAAAGATTATCCAACTGTGTGGGAGGCAAGGGGCAATCAGGACTCATGTCCACTAGCTGGCAGGAATGGAACAAGATCTACTCTTATGAACTGACAAAAGTAACATTGCAGAAGCTCCACACATGGACACTGGAACCCTAGTACAAGAAGGGTGATGGTTAACTGATGTCAAGGTAAAGTGGGGCAAGTGAGGTAGAGGGAGCAGGGAAGGTTTTTCTCAGATCTTGCTTTCAGGCAACTGGAAGAAGAGCTTTTCAGAGAAGACTGGAAAGGAAGGATCCAAGAACAGGCATTTTCCTTAGCTTTTTGAGGTGCCACACTCTCATATCTCACTGTCTAAGGGCAGGGAAGCAGGGTAGAAGGAAAAACACTATAGTGTTCAACCTCAATGAAGTCTTCTTGTTTCATGCCTAGCTCTGCTGCGGTCCTTTGGCCTAGTAGCTTTTAACCACAAAAGAGAGCTTGGAGAGCTTCCCCTCAGATCCTATGGCCTCTGCTTAGTGAGATATCAATGTTCTAAGAGGAGTACCCTGTGGGCACAGTGACCTTGAGCACCTGATGTTTTTCTTGCTCCTGAACCTGGAGCTAATGTTTCTTGCCTGACTCTTTGGCGGGCTCAGGAGTCCGGATAGGAACACACAGCCACTTATGTCAGCCTTTCTAAGCACAGTGTCTTCTAGGGTGGGACCAGGGGGAAGTTTCACCTACAGAAGCAGCAGAATCTGGGCACTCTTGGGCAGGACCACACTTTGATCTGCAGGAGCTCAGACATAATGAGAGGCCTGATCAGCCAGGTAATTCACTTTGAGATGGAAGAGTTAAGGGCTTTCCCTAAGTAAGGGCACTATTCACCAAGACTACATC